TTAACGTAAAATTCGTCAATTAATTTATGATCTTTATCATAAAAATGTAAACCGGCTATACCATCAATATTCTCTGTTCCATTATTTATAACAGAACCATCTATATATACGAAAATTTGTTCTCCCAATTGTTGGATTAATTTGTAGTTGATGACGTTTAACTTTTCGATCGATAAGTTCTTATTAAATTTTTCTTTTTTAACATATTTTTCTATACAATTTTGCGTTGATTTTTGCATATTGGACTCAAAAATATTTAATCTAATATCATCTTGTTTAAAAAGCAATGGTTCTATAATAAAATTATGTTCATGCCATATATTTGACTCAATATGTGATTGAATAATATCTGGTACTATATATGAATCAGTTTCATGTATTATTATTGCATGTGAATGTAAATAATTTTCAAGAAAATAAACATCTTCTATTCTCAAATTAACTAAACAATTACTTTGTTTATGTATTCTTTCGAGGGGACCGATGGTGCTTGTTTCATCCAAGAAACATCCTAAACATTTTTTTAAACCCATAAATAAATCATCTGGATTATTAACCATTATATAATGTTCCAATACTATATTATTAGATCCCAAATTGTAATTTTTACCATAAACTAAAATTATATCGTTATATAACTTCTTTTTTCCAAAAATAAAACCATTATTTATAGGTTCTGAGTTTGAATTCATTTTAGTTAGAATTGTTCCTTTTAAATTATGAGCAAAACTAGTGCCTATTTTATTCCTAGCTTCAATAGAAATTCGTCTTTTTATTACTTCATTGTTATCTAAAATACAATCTTCTATAATTTTCCAACTCTTTTCAATTAAAGATCTATTTGGACTAAAAAATTTTTTAAATCGTTTTCCCAAAATTTCTTTTAACGTTAATAAATTTTTTCCATCTAACGTCAAAATTTGATCTGCAAACATAATATTGAGTTTTTTTATTGATCGTAAATTATCGAAATAAATTTCTTCAGGTAAAATATCTTTAATTAAAATATTTCCTCCAATTATTTCCATTTTATCTACCGTATCGTTAATAGCAATGCTAAAATTCTGAGTCTTTAACATTTTGATACATTCTAATATATAATGATTTTTTAATTGCGTCGTGAAAATTTTCTTATATCTAATAATATCTTTTTCTCGTAATGAATAAATAGGATTATCGTTTAAAAATAACAATTGTTGAAGATTATATAAACGAATTTTAGTGATCATTCCCAATTCATTTTTATCATTAATTTGTAAGATAAAATTAGTCGTTTTTGCTTGTAATTGATTATCCTCAATATTTTTAACATTAAACATCTCTTTTAAGTGAACTATTGAATTCGGTGTAGTTTTCATAAATTTTAACTTATGTTTAAATAAAATACGAAATTTTGCCATAATTTTGTTACATTCATATTCTGATAAAATAATTAGTTGTGCCCTATACTCAATTCTTGGAATGATTAAGACATTAAAGATAAAAGCCATTTGTTTATCTGTTAATTTTTTTCGTAAGATCATTGAATCGCAGCAATTATTAATTTCATTTTTAATTTGATCAATTACATGATTTTTTCGATTAAAAGCATTGAACCAAACTCCTAGTAATCTAATTGAACCTTTTTTACTAGTAGGTTTAATATTAACTATCTATTTTCCAAAACTCAAAGATAACGATTCTGGGATATATTTTTTTCTTAACAATAATTCTGATTTATCCTTATTGATTTTTATATCATTAAGATTATAAAAGGTGTCAGCAATTGATAAAATTTTCTCTAAATTTTCCTGGTTTCCAGCCATGAAATTTGTATCATCCATATACGCTAAACCTGGAAAGTTAAAATTAATCTTTTCGTTGACATTTTCATAAATATTATTAACTTTAAAACCATCTATATCGTATCCTAGATTTGAATTCTTAATTTTTGTCAATAAAGGATCGTAGTAAATAATCCACAATAGCGGTGAAATTATCTCCCCTTGATCAATCCCGCATTGCATATCAAAAGCGTCTGTTAAACCATAAGGTGTAAAAACTTTGTTTTTCCTTCCAATCGATAGACTTGTTAATAAATTAATTAATTCTACTGGAAATTTAATTCTTTTCATCGCTTTTTCAAGCATAAAAACATTAATCTGATCATAAGCCTTTGACATGTCAAGAGCAAGAATCCATAATTCTTTATCACGTTCTTTACTATGTTGAATTATCTCATTAATTATTCGTAATGGTTCAAAAGTTGAATTTAAGGGCAAGCCTGCGTACTGATATCCTTGTAAAACTTGATGTTCTACCATTATCTTTGAGATACGTTTTGTAATTATTTTCATCATAACTTTTCTAGCTGTTTCCAATAACGTGATTGGCCTAGTATTATTTAATCTATACCCCCAAGGTTTCGGCTTTGGGATCGGATATATATTTGCTAGTTTCCAGTCTTCAGGCATAATTTGAGTGCGTAAAACTTCATTTATAATATTTCTTAATAAATGATTAAATTCTGACGGAGCCTTCTTAATTTCATCATATGCAATTCCTGTTGGCCCTACTGCTTTTTTAATTGGTAAATCTTTGATTACAATATCCCATTCATCATCAGTTATTGGTACAAGACAATTATTATAAATTAATTTATTAATTGATCTTATAGGTTCATATTCATCAGACCACTCTTGTAAATCATCTATAGTACGATTTTTCGATCCTGCTGCATTTTGAAAATGATTTTTAGTTATGTCTTTGATTTTATTTTCATCAGTAACTAAAATACTGTTTCCTTCTTCGTCATCAATTAAAATTCTATCTATAAAATTTTTTTTCATTTCATTTTCAGTAATATTATCAATCATTCTTCGTTGATTATCTGCCAAATCTGCACAACGTTTATCTATGGCTTCTTTAATTTTATCATTTTTTAGATTAAACATTTCCATTGAAAATTTTGAAAATAAAGTATCGTATATCTCATTTAATTCCTTAACATATTGACCTATTAAAAATCGACTTAATCTATGTTGTAATAAGAGATACGTTGAATTCACTTCATCTATTGAATGTCTTTTAACTAAATGTTTTAAATAATTATTGTAGTATTTCCAATTTAGAGCGAGTTTTTCAAAACTCAATTTCTTTTTAAATTTTCTTCTTAAATATACAATATATCGTAAATCTTTATATAATTGTGTATGTTGAAATGTTTTGTCACGGTCTACATTAACTATAATTTCTTTAGATCGAATATGTTGTTGTTTAATTTTCAATAAATTATTTTTAAAAAACGACCACTTTTCTTCAATCGAACCATTTAAATTAAAAGAAGTAGCAACCTTTTTTAAGTCATCTTGAAAATTTAAAAGATCTTTTTCTTCAGTATTATCAAAATCAAAAATATTTCTAATTAAATTTACATTAGTCTTATTCATTTTTTTTGTCTGTAAAATCGGATAAATCAAATCTTCATTAATAAAATCAAAAGTTAATAAGGCATGATCCGTTTTAATTATATCTCTTATATTAATAATTTTTGCTTTTGATGTTTTCGTGAAAAGATTTTCTGATATCCATATATAATCAATTCTTGATTTGAAACGACCAAAGTAAGTCATTATTTCTTTTGTATTGTCCATGTCATAAGTTTCCTTATGAACATCCCATAAATTAAGATTTTCTAATTTCTGAAAAATTTTCAACATTTTTGGCACAGATTGTTTATTATCAAGTCGTTTTTTAAACTTTCTATATTGTAAATTAAAATCACCACAACAAATGATTTCCATATTTTTAGATTTAGCTATTTTAATATGATTAATCACATGTGTATTCATATTAATTTTGTTGTTCATATCTACACCCGTACGATGATTAGCTAAATTATAAAATAATATTAAACGTAATTTTTTATTATTTTTAAAGGAAAAATCCACTATTAATATACGTCCATTGATTTTTTCTATATTGAATATATGTTTTTCTAAATTATTTCGTATTATAAGCATAACTCCTTTTCCAATAGCATTTTTATTATCATTATGTGAAATAATTTTGTATCCAGCTTTATCTGCGTTGAAAAAATTAATTTCTTTATCAGCTTTTTGTGTTTCTGTAATACCCATTATATCGACACCATTTTTTCTTATATAGTCAAAAATATTGTTCAATTTATATTCTGTTAAGGTACATATATTAAGCACTGCTATTTTTGTAAAATATTTCTGATTATCGTGCTCGTTAAACATATCTATGCTATCGTCAATTTGATTTGGAATTGTATTATCTTCCATTAAGTTTGTTTTTTTCTTCTTTTTCTTTTTTCTTTTATAATTAATTAAATGTGGGGTGGATTGTTAGAATAATTATTAATTAAATTGTTATTATTGGGTTGTACAATCATTAAGATTTAAAAAGTGGATTCGAACTGGTTGGCTGAATTGCTAGTACCCCCAATACTTGCAATTTTGGTTGTAGAAGAATCATTTTGTTCTTTATCGGAAAGTTGTCCAGTAAGTTTCGTGATCATATTGAACATATTATTTAATAAACTATCTTGTTTTTCTACTCTTGATTCTAAGTTAAGCACTAAGTTGTTGTCATCATTTTCACTTGAAGATGAGTCAGGTTTGGCACGCTTATTATTATCGTTAACTATTGGTAATTTGTTAGGCTTTTGTTGGAGACCTTTACGATTATTATTATTTTTAAAGGTTTCTTTAATTGAATTAATTTCTTTTCTAACTATATCATTTTCTTTTCTAAATTCGGTAATCATTGCATTTAAAGTAGTAAGTTGTTTTTTAATCTCTGATAAATCATTTTGTGACGATGTATGTTTGTTGTTATTTGGATCATGCATAGAGCCTCCTTTCCTAGTACCGCCTTGAATTGGGTTGTGGTTGTTGTCACTTATATCTTCTTCGTCACCCCAAGCTTGCATTTCTTCTTCACTAAAGGTGTAAGTATTGTTATTACGTTGTCGGTTGATAATATTATTTTGATTCCAATGTCGTTGTCGATTATTAGGATATCTATTTCCCTTAGTAGCATCAGCGTATGAATTGAATTTAGATTTATTACGATTTTTAAACTGTTGGAGCAGTTGATTACGATTTAATTTATTTGATCGTTGTCGTAATTCCGTTTGACATTCCTTCGCTACATGTCCCGTATATCCGCATCTATGACAAGATTTGGTATCTAACGGGGACCATTCTAGTTGTTGACCTTCATATTCATATACATTATTGGTAGCAATACTAAAATCTTCATCATTTCTAAAATATACAAAAGCATATTTCATAGGTTTATATGTCACGGAGTTGCGTGGAATAAAAATAGACGCAGCGCTGGTTTCAGTAACCAATGGTTGTAAATCACGTGCACAAGTATTAAACGGTAAACCATTAATTTTTGCTGCAAATTGGAACCTTTCAGATTTTTTATCTTCAGATAGCAAAACAGGTACCACTGAGAGACATTCTTTAAACGCCCATACACTCCATTGAGCATAAAAAGGTTGTATGCTAAGTTCGTCTTTGTAGGTTATAAAAGCTTGTCTGTATATACCTTTAAGTCGTGTAGTAATGCCATCTTCTTCTAATTCTCCATATCGACTAAAAACAGCCTTCAAATTATAATTTTCCATATATAACGGTATATTGAATACCTTGATAGTACAGCTTTCATGACTTTGAAAAAGTTGTTTTCATTTTTCTTGTAAATTTTCTACTTTCTTAAAGAGTAAACGACATTATTTTCATCTCCATCGGTTGCACTAGGCATTTTAAAAGTCATATTACATAAGCTATTTAAATCGACTTCTGTGTTGACTTTAATACTAATCACGTGACAGTATTTTTGTTCTTGACTGGTATCATCAGTCATTTTAATTGGTTTCTTTTCTTCAAAGGTGGTAATGACGTCAATTTTTGATTTGATAATTTTAACAATATAATGACAAAATTGTGTACTTTTGGGCGCTTCCGGAATCATACAAGTTGCTTTCCATGTGTTATGTTTAGACAAGACGATTGGTGAAAATTCGGCGTCGGCCATTTCTTTTTCAGGCAATTGATTATCGGCAGATGGATCATCAAAATGTGAGTCATCATGCGTCGATTGATCATCTTGATCTTGTGTGTTGATCTTTTGTAGTACATCGGAATGATCTTCATTAGCTTTTCCTTTATTCGCAGTTGGTGTTGCAGAGGTTAATTGTATTACAATAGGATCGACATTTTTCGGGGTTTCGCCAGTTTTGGTTTTCTTTTTTTGCTGTGTATCTTGTGGATTATAAGCAACAAAAGGGTCAAGTTCTTGTCGTTTGAAAGTTGCTTGTTGTTTTCTATTATATGGTAACCTTGCAGAAGCAGCTGCTTGGTGCTGTTGTTTCTTCTTTTTCTTGTTTTCTTGACGTAAGGTAGCTTTAGACTTAACTGTAGTAAACTCCTCGTCATTAGGAGTGAAAGTAAAATTATTCGAAGTATCTTGCGTAGTAGAAGTTGTACCAACAACTCCTTCCATAGTTTCTCCCTGCTCCTGGTTGTCTATACCCTTCTGGGCCGCACTACGAGTAGTCCTAGCTGAGGTGGACATACCGTTATATTTAACAAAATAAAATAATTATGAGAATATCGAAAAGAATTTTTCTAAGTTTTTCTTTGTAAAAAAACGAAATGAAGGAACGGGAGAGAGTTTTTCGACATTGACATTGTCATTGACATAAAGTTATATAAGATTAATCTGAGAGTTTTTTACCAAAAAGGAAATTTTTTTATAAAAAGGGAAATGATTTTCAATTTCGAGGCAATTCAGCAGGTGTTTTAATAACAAATTGAGAAATGATTTCCATAGAAAATCTCGTGACAAAATTTTATAATAAATTTAAAATAAATGATCAACAAATGATCAACAAAATCGTTACTAGTTTTATAAAAAACGCCCAATAATATCTTTTTATTGTTTTAATGTAGTGCATTTTTTAAGAAATCTAAAGATACAAACCTGATAAGAGAGTTGAATTTTCAAGATGTATTAAGTGAATTGAATAGTCGAGTACTTTCTGAAGATGAAATAATTGAACTTTTAAAATGGTGGATTTGCTATAAATCGAATGGAAGTATTATTAATCCATTAGAACGTGCACAGTTCATGCAATCTGCGCGTATTAGCAATGACAATAACGTTCGATCTTTGAATACGTTTCGACATTTTTTGAATTCAGGAATAATTCCTCCAGAAATGGATGTTCCTGACAATGTATTTCCGTATACTATTATCAAAAAACTAAAGGATCAAAAATTAAAAGATCATAAATTAAAAATTCAAGAATTCAGTGATCAAAATCTTAAAAAATGGTTTGAATGGACAGAGTTACCTTTGGTTAATTGGGCAAGGTTTGTTGTCACCAAACCCGATTTGGAAAATAATCCAGAGTTTTCTGAGAAAGTTCATGAGATATTAGCAAGAAATTTTAAAAAAATGTCACGTAATGACAAAATTATAATTACTCGATTATTTGAATACAAAGAGTGCATTCCAACTGCATGTGGAATGAAGATTCCTGGCAAAGCTTATTTTGAAAATATCAAACTATTTCCTGACTTACCAACGATCAAATTTCAAAATCCTTCATTTGTTAAGAACGTAATGGAATTATTGGGTGTTCGAAAGGTAAAAATAACGATTTTTTTTTATAATTTATTTTACGTTACGTTTTCATGATTTGTTTAATTTTTCTATAGGTAGTTGAATTAGAACTTATTTTTGAAAATCAAAGAAATTTGGATCATATGCAACTATTAAAATATTTTGCTTCAAATTCAAGTGATCTTAAAGCAGATGAAATAGAAATATTGAAGGAAAAACCAATCTGGCCCAAAAAAAGTTTGACCGATAATGAACCCGGAGAAATACGGCTTGTTGCAAGAGATTTGCATACACCTACACCGTTACATTGTGAATTTGGGTTACCTGTGATTAGTTGGAATAAAGGGTTGTCTAATGGTTCAGAAGAAGGTATATTCATTGTTTTTTTTATTTAATTTGTTTAATTTTGTCAAGTTATTCATAATTAATCGATTTTATAGGGAAATTTTTAATCAAGTTGGGTTTACGAGAATATCTTACACTTGAAAAAATCCTTGAACTGGCAGCGCCTCCAACTGATCTTAAGATTCGTGAAAAGGCTCTCAAATATTTTATCGATAACTTTGATAAAAATTATTTTAATAGTTATAGATCATCGCCTGTAGTCAATATTGCATTTTTGCCTTGCTCAGAACCAGATGTTTATGCGAAGCCTTCAGAATGCTTTATTAATCCAGAATGTGAGATAATGAATTTTAAAGTTATTCATCAAGACCTAAAGTTTAAAGTGGGAAAATTGGGTGTTTGTCAAGATCCTAATCATGAAGAACTCTTGATTAGGTTAAAAGAAAATCCACCAAAGGATAAAATTGATGCAGAGAAAATTTTTGAATATTTGACATCACAGCAAGGAAAATTTACTGATCACGATTGGGATATTCTTGTCGATCTCGAATTTATTCCAGTTCAAAATAAAATTGGACCTAATATAATTAATTATGCCAATCCAAACAATTGTTTTTTTAATATTCAAGAAGAAATGTAAGTGTTTTCTAACTTTGAAATAATTTTTTTTTAAAAAAAAAATATTAAAATTACTTTGTTATTTATATTAGCTTAAATGATTTCTTTAACTGTATCGATTTTGGGAACAAAGCAAATAAGTTTTTGAAAAGTTGCGGTGTTAAAGATGAACTAACTCCGATAAATTTTGCTGAATTATTGGTAAGATCATCAGATAAATTATGGAAATTAGTTCAAACAATTGATAATGGCGTAGATAAATATATGTATTTTCTAAGAAAAATCGCTCTCGACTTTAAAATATTAGCCGATAAATCGAGTTTAATAGAGGAAATGAAGAAAGCACCTATTTTAATAGCTATAAAGAAAAAATATCAGGACGAAGAAGAAATCAATGATTCTGATTTAGCTTCAGCGAAAGATATTTTTATAAATGATGATATGGTATATTAACAAGTTTTTAATCCATTAACAGCTCCTGAAGATGAAATATTGGAAAGTATGTATAAGGTATAATATCTCGAATTAATACATTATTTCAAATTTAATTATATAATATATTGAATTAGATAAGAGTGTTTTGATATTTTATTAATTATATAATTTATTCTTTTATAGAAATTAGGTTGTAAATCATTAAAAGGTTCTGTAAAAGAAAGTTCGGCTCCAAAAGGTACTACCCGAGAAACTGAAAATTCTAGACAATTACAAGAAAAGATTACAGAAAGGGCAAGTTTATTTTATTATGAATATCCTAAAGATAACATCAAAAAAGATGAAAATTGGCTTAAAAAACTAAAAGTTAGAGAAGTTGATCATATAGAAACTAAATATACGTTAGGAGGAAATATTAAGATCAAGAAAAATGATACTATTATACTAGAAAATAATAGAATGAATCCATGGATTCTTTATATAACATCCAATTCAAGTTCACTTGATATTTCAAAACATATAGCTAAGAATATTTACAAAGTATATAAATGGAAGGATATCTTTTGTATTAATACACTTTTAATTACACCTTTATCAGTTTTAAAAAAAATGGGATATCCAGTTAGTCGCATATTGCAACAACAGAAGTATCAACCATCTACAGCAGAAATTCATAAAAATCTTCAAGACAATTTACAAAAATTTGTAAAAAGTTGTAATCTTAATGAAAATATAAATAGTGATGATAGTGATAATGACAGTAATCAAAATGATAAAAGTACCAATATTAAACATCACTGTGCTATGCCAGGTACTGTATAATGCATATAATATTGTTTTAATTGGACACTATTGCATTTAATACTAAATTTTTAATTTTTTTTTTTTGTTAGATTATTTATTACATTGTGTTGGAATTATGCAAAAAATTAAACTTCATGATACCAAAGATATTCAACAATCAGTAATCTTGTCTCAACCATATAATGCATCATTAAGCCGATTCGTCAGTATGCTAAAAGAACTTGCAGATGTTTTTGAACTTGAATTAAATACCATTAATATATTTTATAGTGATGATAATACAATTGCATTTAACTATGATAAAACATTTTTCTTTAATTTCAAGTTTTATCATGAATTACACGATGATGAATGTAAAATTAAACCCACAATTAATGCTATGTCCTATTGGTACATGACATTTTGTCATGAATTAGCACATAATTTTGTCAAACCTCATAATTATGAACATGAAGTAAGTGTAACTTTGAAGTCTATTTATTTTATTATTTATTAATCTAATCATACTTTATATTCTTTTAATAGCATTATTTTTCATCATTTGCGGAACTTTACATGTCAAATTTTTTAGCAATGGTAAACAGAAATATGGATGCTTATTGATCCGGTAAAACAAAAAATTAATAAACTTAATATACAATTATATATAGTATCTAATATTGTTGTTAGAATTGATATCTTGAATTTTACAGTTTATGTAATTTGAAAATTACAAAATAATTAAAGTCATAGTAATTTAAGCGAGTTAGAAAATTTTGGTATAAATAAATATATTTAATAAAAATGATTTTTCTATTACTGTATATACCTCCCTAATATTAGAAACTAGAAAACGTGTAAAACGAGTTGTAGATTAATAATAAAGTAACATGATTTGCTAACGGTACATAATATGAATTTAATCTTTCTTTTTATACTAAGATTACGCTTATATTGACTCGATTTTAGTTAACATTAATATAATTCTTCCAATAGAAATTAAGTGAAAAATAAATTATGATCGGTAAAATTATGTGTTAAATCAATGACAACAAATAATTTTTTTTTAAGGTAATAATATAATGGCTTTAAAAAATTTTAATAATGTGGAAAAGCATCAAGATATCTTAGATAATTATTGATTAAAAAAATAGGTTTCATTTTTGATTTGTATTTATGTATTAATGTTCTAATACTGCTAGTATTTACATCAAATTTACAGTTATCTATGTTTAAAATCGACTTGTGTAATAGTGTCTCTAATAAAAATGTCGCATATTACAAATATGTAAAACTCATCAAAGTTTCAAAAAAATAGGTTATAGTATTTATAATTTGTTCATTAGTAAAAAATTTTCATGATTGGTTCAAAATCAAAAATCAAAATATAATATGGATAAAAACATAAATTTATCTTGTCTAAGGTTGCAATTGCGACAATATAATTATTAAAATTTAATGAAAGTCTCAAAAAGCTGGTTACATGTTAAACATTTTACACAAACCTACTTTTTTATGAAAAGTAATACTCGTACTACTTACTACCTTCCATTTTCATGTTTTTGTTAAGTACCCCTCGTATTCTTGTAACTCACATTAAAATGAATTTGGGTATGGATTTTCCTCCAAATTAAAGATTTTTTTTCTTTATACCGTAAATAGTAGATATTTATATCAACTTAACGCAATGGAAATACTTTTATAGTATTTTGAAGGAATTCCTTATAGTATACTTTACAAATATAAATTCCTTGTATATTTTATATATATATTTTTTTTCAATAAAATCTCTACGATTTAAAATTTGATTCACTTATTTAAGTTAAATTTCCCAAATCATTATTTGTTTATTAATATAAGTGCGGTTAGGTAAGTCTCTACACTGAGTTAAATATTAATTTTCTTTAAATTTATGAATGCAAACGTACAAATGTCCAAAATCATTTCAAAAGTAGCAAATTGACCACAAAATTGCCATTATGGATTTCATCATATTTTCATTAAGAATATCAAGCACAATATCTAGAACCATACTATTCGGCAAGACATTCTTTGATAAAACCCAAAACCCTACAAGCCACTATATGCGAGAGCCTTTTGGTCCAGTTAAATATCATAGTACTATGATTTCATTTAAAGTAACTTTAATAAGTTATTGACAATATTGTATAATAGATGATAATAGTTTACTAGAATTCGATAAGTGGAATGTCAGCTTTTGGGAAAGAGGTTTGATAACCTGAGATTCGAGATTTTGAACTAGCTTATTAATAAGTTTTAATATGGTGAAACGTCGATAAACCATAAAACTAATTTGATGACAAAAAATAAACAATAAATTTAAAAAGTAAAGGCAGAATTAAAAGAACGCGGGAAAGTGATTTTAAAAAACAATTACTTAAAAAGAAAAGGAAGAAAAAGGTTTTTTTTTTAATAAAGGATAAGAAAAAAAACGTGAATTAGGAATAAGTAAAGAGAAATATTTTTCCATGTAAAGAGTAATATTTTTATTTTTACTAGCGATCACTGAATCAAGAAAAAAAAATTATTAAACTGCTTCACGTTTTTTTTTTATATTTACATCTATATAATATAATAAAAAAATTCATGTCGATCTTCTAACGTTTAGATTAGCCTGTATAAATCATCTTTGAATTGTGTAATGCATGATTCATCTGCGCCTAACNAATGAGAAGTAATATGAGGTGAAAAATAATGAGACTTTACTTTGAATCAATGTCAATTTCCAGTATGTGTTACATTCTCAATAACAATTAATAAATCACAAGGGCAAACTCTGAGCAGGGTTGGTGTTTACCTACCTGAACCTGTCTTTACACATGAGCAATTATATGTTAAGGTTTTTATAGATAATGGTGAGAACTGCAAGACAAGAAACATTGAATACTGTGAAATATTTCATTCTATAAATAGATTTCACATTTAAAAATAACATTTTGTATGTATAACAATATTTCATATGTAATATTTTATATATAACATTCATACACAATTCACTTTTATTAGTATAAATATGTAAATTATATAAATTTATTAGATTATTTTTATCATACTGTAAATAATATTATTAAAATACTAAGCCTATTTCTAAAATATAGCCATACCATTGTTACTTTTCTTGACAAGTTTTATCCCCGGCGCAGCGCGACGGGTTACAACTAGTTAGTAATAAAAAATAAATATTACATATTATATATTATAGCGAGGGTATGTAAATCTTGTCAAAAAATAAAGTTCATAAATAAATAGTTTTAAAAAAAAAAAAAAAAAAAAAAAAAATTTTCTTTTTACTTTAATAATGATAGACATTAGAACTAAGATGTTCTAATGGATACTGTAACTTAATCATCGATATTGTAACTTAATTATCGATTTTTATTTTTATTTATATTTAACAGATATTAGTTAGTGTTCATATATCTAAAACCATTCCTATAATTCACCCACTACCTCTCTTAAACCAGTAGAAACTAGATAAGTTGACGCCCGGCAAGTAGTAAGTAAGTAACGGAAATTGGCTAAGTAAGTAACGTAAAATTACTGTTTTAGGTCAATTTACGTTACTCCCCTTATATAAGGCACGGAACGTAAAGTCAATTATATTTACTTTACGTTACTCCCTTTATATAAGTTACAGAATGTAAGGTAAATTTAAAAATCGGTTAAACTTAAAATTTTATTGCGAAAATATTTTTAAAATTTTTTTTGCAAACACATTTATTCAAAATAATCGATTTATTTAAAATGAAATTTTATTTGCAAATATTAAATTTAAGTCACACATCTTCGATTTTAACGAAAAAAATCACTGTATTTACTTTAATGTAGTGATACAAGTAAAAAAAACTAACAATAAATAAAAAAGATAAATAAATTACATTGATCAAGGAGAAAAATGCTAATAAAAAAATGAAATAACAATGGAGTAATGGAAAGTAATAGAAGAAGAAAGGGAGTAAAAAAGAGTAATGAGAAGTGATAGGAAACAAAAAGGAGAAATAGGGCATGTTGGGAGATGAAAAAGAGTGATGGGAGATGGGAGACGAAGAGGAGTGATGTGAGACGAAAAAGAGTGATGAGAGACGAAAGGAAGTGATGAGAGACAAAAAGAAATGATGGGAAGTAATCAAGTAAACAGGAGAGAAAAAGAAATAACGGGAAATGAAAAGATGTAATAGAAATAATGGGGAACAATAATGAGAAGTAATATGAAGTGAAAAATGATGAGGGACAAAAAATAAAAAAATGATCATGATAAGAGGTTGGGTAATGATAGGAAACCAAGTAAAAAATAAACCATAAAGTAAAAAAAAAATGAAGTTAGTAAATAAGATAAAAACGAAATAAAAAAAATAAATAAAAAATAAAAAACTTACCTTTATTATTTATAGAACTGAAAGAACTAAAATAACTAAATAAAAAAATAAAATAAAATTAGTGAAAAACGGAAATATGAAACAGAAGCAAAATAAAAAAAAAATAAAAAAATGAGTAAGAAACGAAACTATACTGAAAACGAGATTCGATAAACAAATAAACATGACGCGATCATGTGGCAAATATAAGGAGTAACGTAAAGTATTTACCAAAAAAATTTACGTTCCGTTCCTTACTATATAAGAGAAGTAACGTAATAGATCATGTGACTTTACGTTACTTACTTTGTCAATTTCCGTTACTTACTTTCTATATATTCGTTGACGCCCGCCCTGTAGCGAAATATATAATAACCCTATAAAATTATTTGAACTAATATCTATCAATCCATAAAGCTATATTAGTATAAAATTCCATAATATTCTTTACCAATAAAAATTTCATATTAATATTAATAAATTAGTAATAACAGATAATGAAAATAAACAGAAAATATTAATTAATAATCAAATAAGACATTATCAAACCTTCTGTGGCAGCTGATCCTAAAATAAAGTTGTAAGACTGAGCCAAACTATAAAAATAAATAAATTTAATTTAACAAATTGGTAAGAATAATAATTAAAGAATAATAAAAAAATGCTAATATTTAATAATTAATAATCAAAAACCAACACCTGTTATTGAGTTGAATTTGCTGCAGTAGTTGATCCATCCTGACATGAAACTATAGGGCCAAATCTAGAATCAAAAAAAAAAAATTAAATTTATGTTTAGTAATCTTGTAGTAAAAAAAATAATAAATAAAAGATATTAATTAATAAACAAATAAGAAAGCTAATCTGTCATATGAAACTATGAGAACGAACCTAATCATGAAAAAAAAATAATATAATTTAATTAAATTAGTAAATTGATTTATAATAATAAAAAAATACTATTCATAATTAATAATCAAAAAAAGTTGAATTAAACAAAAGCCACCTAAAATTATAAAAAAAGTATAAAATTATTTAATTACTATTAACAAAACCATGATAATAAGTTAAAAAAAAATTGATTAATGATTAATTATCATTAAAAAAGGGTAAAAAACCTGTATCTACTGATTTATCACAGCATTGCTTGTACAAAGATCTCCAACTGAATCTAAAGAAAAAAAATAAATAATTTTTTGAATTTCTTTTTTTTTTAAAAAAAAATTAGTAGTCAAACAATACTAAAAAAAGAAGAAAGCAAATTTCAAAAAGAAAAAAAAATTAGCATTGGAAAAAATCACATGTCTACTTATTAAAATCTGCAACCTTTAGCATTATTCCTTATTCTGACAAAAAAAAAAAATTAATATATATAAATACTAGTTGATCATATGGGTGGATGTCCCCAATATGGCCCAAAAAATTTCACCCTCACATGATTTTGAATTTTAATGTTAAATATTTTTATAATTAATAAAAAATTTTCCCACCCTAACAGCTATTTTAGAGACAATGGACTTCAAAAGTTATTGCATGTGCCTAAAAAAGATTTAGTGAACAGAAATACTTTTCAATTTCAAAAATCAAAAGTCATCATGTAAATTATAAAGTTAAAAAATATTTTATTTCACAATTCACCTGACTTATTAAATCACAAATAATTAATTGTTTACGATATCAATAACTTTAATATAAGATATATCATAGTTTTGAACTTTAATATTATATAATTCAAATTCTTTTACTTCATCTTTCAAAGAAACTAAGTCTTTATAATTAATTAATATGGCTAAATATTTAACCCTTTTCTTTTTCATAATGTATTCTTTAATTTCTTTTATATAAGGCAAAATATCTTTGACTTTCTCTTGAACTGTGATTTTAATAAATAACTTTTTGATAAAAGTATTTTGAAAATTTTCTAAAAATATTTTCAATTTACTTGGTTTAATCTTATTAAGATCTAATTTTAAAAATTCTAATTTAGAAGGAAGAGTTTGTCCTAAATTTTTTGATATGATAATTGATGAGTCGTCGTAACAACTTTTATCAAAATCAAATTTTATATCAAGATAATTAAGATTCTGCTTAATATTTTCAATTAGGTCAAGTGCTAAATTAATATAATCTGATTCCATTAATGAAAAATATTTAATTTTTCTACAGTATTTTATAATTGATTCGAATAATTGTTTTTTTTTTTGTATTGATAATTTATAATGGTCTCCAAATCCAAAATTTTCTAAATCACTACCAAATTTTTGTATTAGCAATTGTAATAATTCAACATTTAATAATACTTCGCTCATGATCAAAGATTTTAATTTAAATGGTCTAAGAATATTATTAATTTGTTGAACAAAATCAGAATTTAAAGAACGACAATTAATAATATGAATAGTTTCTAAAACATTCAACTGATTGAATATTTCTTGAATATTAGTAATTATTTCCTTAAAATCAATTGTATAGAAGGTAATGATTTTCAAAGTATTTGAAATATTGGAATTTTTTAATAATGAAAATGAATAGTATAAAAAGTTATTTTGTTCAAATGAAATTTTTTTGAGATTCTGTTGTGTATTAATCATTTGTGTTAACCATTTTTCAACTAAGGTACAATTATCCGCTTCAAATTTATCATAAATTAAAAAAATTCCAATATAAAGTGATGAGATTGAATTACAATTAGAACATAAAAATTTTAGTAAAGGAAAGATATTTGTATAAATCATATTCATAATATCCATATAAAACATTAAATTTCTAATATTGCAAGTAAAATTTGGATTTTGTAAAGTTAATTCCATAGTATCATTAAGATAATCACAATCATTAGATGTACGTACTTCAACTTCAAAAGAATGCAGATTTCCTTCATTTTCAATAAACATTTTAAATAGTGATCTATAAATTAATATTGAGATCTCCCAATGTTTATCATCCATTAACCAATTTTCAATAGAATAAACAATTTTATGTATATTTAATCGTTTAATAAAACTAGGATAGTTGAATAATGTACTCGAACAACTTGCTATTAATTCCATATTCACTATATTCGCTAATTTTTGTTTTAAATAATCATCCTCTTTTAAATTACCCAAGTAAATTTCAATAAATTGAAAATTTTGGACGTGAATCGAAAATGGATCTTCCCATAACAATGGAATTGCCAGGCGACACCATAATCTGTTGACTAAAATACATGAATACAATGTTGAAAAATCATTCCTAAAATACTGTATAATTTCATATGTTAATTCAGGTAAATTTTCTAAAAATAATTTTGAGTATGTCATATTTGTGAAGAGAAAATGAGGAAGTGTTGGAAGTGTTTATTCTCAAAGTATATTCAAAGGAGAAGTTTGTTTAGTTTGTTTGCATAATTTTGTTGACTATTTATAATCGATATGTGAATACGCCACAGCTTTATTGTTTGTATACATAATGTTAATTGCACATGATTTAATGTATATCAGTTTTAAACATTCATTTTTCTCATTAAAAATTCCTAAATTATCTGAAAACTTTTCATTTTATTAGTTTTTAATTATTACTTTGAGTTTTATAAGTTTAAATAGTATGTAAGTCTATGGCGAATTTTTATATAGTGAGTAACTTGCTATAATGAAGAAAAGTTCAGATATGGATTTTTTTTATGTATAATAAAATGACTCTCAGACAGTGAATTTAGTGAATTTCTCACTAACGAATTTTAAGGGTGAACTGTACTATGTTTGTTTCAGTGTTTAACAAATTAACAAATAACTTGTAGTGGCAAATTATTCAAAATCTCAAATGACAAATGATGAGTCATTTGAGATTTAATGTTGACCAGAACTATAATTCTGGCCTACATTACGTATTTTACTTTGATTAAAATCATGTGATAGGGTTTCAACCAATCAGAGTCAAATGACTGAAATAATTATGAATAATGACAAATTATTGGCAATGATCAAAATGACAAATCCGAACACTGGTTGAATGGTTGGTAATTTTAACCAAAATAAAATATTTTTTATACTCTATTCTTTGGTATTGGCTTGGAATATGCTCTATTTAGAGCCAATAGGTGTAGGTCTAGGGATCTATAGAAAAAGAAGTACTTGGGAATAGAGGCTTATTTTACGGCTTGGACTTGGACCGTTATTATATCGATTTGGTGTAAATCGACTTAACTCTGGCCAGTTTAATTTCGACCGGAATTAACTAAGGCAAATTTGGCCAGAATTATGAAAATACATCCTGTAAAAAATTTGATCTATCATTTTCATGGAATTTATCCTTTTTTTCTGGCTATATTTTTCTGGAATTTATTAATAATTACAGTTAGAGAGGTAGCCTTAAATCATTAAATCATGGAATTTTCATTTTACTATCATGGATATTTGCGAATATACCATTTTCACAGAATTTTTGTAAAAGACACGGAGAAATAATATAAAAATTTTTTATAAGGCCGAAAAATCATATGTCAGCCTACCCAGCCCAGGTGAATTTTCAAAAAAAATTTGCCGGCACAAACCCTTATTCTGGTCTGGGATAGTAGCATTAGCTATATTAATTATGACTTAGGTATTCTATATGTGAGTATAAATTATAAGTTTTGAGAATAAAAAAATTTTGTCGCTGCAAATGGATTAATCGCTACACCAATGTTATTTGAGAGCCATTAATAAACACATTGCCTACGTCATATTATAAATATATACATGTGCGTTCGTAAAAGGAAATTTTTTTAATACTAACATTAAATCATCAGAGACGATCTTTATTTAAAATTCGAGGATTTGTAAGATGATAGAATAGATGTCTTTCAGTTAATAAACATGGAGTGAAAATATTATTCCAATTTTATGAAGAAAATCTTAAAAATACTACTTAAAGAAGACGAGATAAGAGAAATTGTTATTGGACGTAGTTATTTTACATTTATCAGATGAAACAAAAATCAAGGATTTGCATTATTACAACTTTATATCAAAGACAACATATCACAAAATCCTTTCATAATTTATAAATTTAAATGGATTAGATTGTTATCGTTATACAACTAGTACTGTATATCATGCTATCATTCAAAGCAGTTATCTTTTGTCATTATTACAAATTTAAAAAGCTAAATATCCCAGTTAAATCTTTAACAAGCTTAAATAACGTTGAAATAAAAAGTCATGATGATGAAAAATAATTCTATCAAAAATGTCCAAATCTAAATACCTCTGGTTAGAATATTTTTGTAATAAAGTAAAAGATGATTAGATCATCATCAATTAATTCATTAAAAATAGACTCACAATAATCATTATCATATTTTTTAATTATCCTTTCTGATTTAAATTTTGCAAGGAAATAAAATTTAAGACTTTTTTTTTAAATTATAAGCAATTAATTATTTTTATAAATATATACGATATTAATATCCATTAAACTACTATGTAATTTAGATGTTAAATATAAAATCAAAAATTCGAGCCTTCTGAGGGTCATTCCGTCAGTTCCGAAGTGCCCGGAGGATTATTATAAAGAAAGGTTTAAATAAAAATAATTAGATTTTTTTTATAAAGAAGATTATGATCCGATAATCTGTTATTTTATCGGACATTCGTATTTTATCGATAATCTAAAGTTTGAATTTTGATTCACAAACTTTATAATCAAAGACTAAGCCATAACCACTTTACCGATAATGATTATTTCATATTTTGGATTCTACTGACATTTTTTTTAAGGCAAAAACAATTCTTATGTTTTTAGAGGGTTTACATTTGAATGTTCATTTGATAAGCGTCATTATTCAAATTTTAATTTTTAAATTAAGATTTATTTCTAAAGTTGAGTTAAGCATATTTAAATTAAATGTATCAAACTTTACAATATAGATAAATAAGACAAAGAACAAATTACCAGATTATTCAAAAATTAAAAATTGATTAAAATCCTATTATCATATTTCACTTTTTTCGTTGATTTATAAGATTATCCAAGTTTTCTTTAACTTCGGGATGTCCATTTTCTATAACCTTCTTATACCAATAAATTGCACTATCAATGTCTTTTTGTATACCCTCACCTTTTTCATATAAAGATGCAAGACGTTTTTGGGCTTCAACATTCCCCCCTTGCGCTGCCATTTTATATAAATTAATAGCCTCGTCTTTATTATTATCAATTTCAATCCCATGTTCATAAATATATCCAAGTTTATATTGAGCATCTATTAATCCTAAACTAGCTGATTTATTATAAAATTCGAATGCTCTAACTTCATTTTTATCAACACCCTTCCCTAATTCATAAATTTCACCTAATTTATATAATGAAACTTTATTGTCATCTTCTGCTGCTTTATGATACCAATAACGTACTTTATCTAAATCATCATCAATTTTTTCATCACCAATACCAATAACTGCTTCATTATATAACTCAAAACCCTTTGATTTATTAACCTCTGTCCCAATACCATTCATATAACAATACCCGAGGTAAAATTTTACATCAATGTATCCATTTTCAGCAGACTTATTATAATATTCAATAGCTTTAATTTCATCTTTTTCAAGACCAATTCCTAATTCATGAAATTCACCCAAGTTATTTAATGCAATAGCATTTCCATTCACTGCTGCCTTTTGAAACCAATAAATAGCCTTTTTTCGGTCCCTTTTTACCCCCTTTCCAAAATCATATAAATAACCAAGGCTATTTTGCGCATTACTATCTCCTTTTTCAGCTGATTTTTCATAATATTCAAAAGCTTTAACCTCATCTTTTTTAACACCAATTCCATATTCATAAGATTTACCTAAATTGTATAAAGCAATAGAATTTCCATTCATCGCTGCCTTTTGAAACCAATAAATGGCTTTTTTTTGATCTACTACTACTCCTTGACCACAGTTATACAAGTAACCAAGTCTAACTTGTGCTTCACTATGTTCCTCTTCAGCTGCTTTGTTGTAAAGGCAAAATGCCTTTGTTTTATTAATTTCGGTTCCAATTCCATTGTAATAACAATTTCCAAGCTGAAATTGAGCATTTAAATATCCTTTTTTAGCTGATTTTTTAAAATATTCAAAAGCTTTAACTTCATCTTTTTCAACACCAATTCCATATTCATAACATTGACCCAAGTTATATTTTGCTATCTCATTTCCATCTTCAGCTGCTTTACTATACCAGTAAATAGCCTTTTCCAAATCTTTTTCTGTTCCTTCCCCATATTCATATAATAACCCAAGATTATTTTGTGCAATATTATATCCTTTCTCAGCTACCTTATTATATAATTCAAATGCTTTTGATTTATTAACTTCAATTCCGATTCCTTTATCATAATAATATCCAAGGTTAAATTGAGCATCCAAATGTCCTTTTTCAGCTGACTTTTCATAATATTCAAAAGCCTTCATTTCATCCTTCTCAACTCCTTTTCCTGATTCATAACATTGACCCAAATTGTATAATGCTACTATTTCTCCTTTTTCAGCCGCTTTATTATACCAATAAATAGCCTTTTCTAAATCTTTTTCTGTTCCTTCACCATATTCATATAATAATCCTACATTATTTTGAGCTATCAAATAATCTTTTTCAGCTGCTTTTTTAAATAACTCAAATGCTTTTAATTTATTAACTTTAGTTCCAACTCCTAAATAATAATATCTCGCAAGTTGTAAATATCCATATATGTCTTCTTTTTTGTATATATTTCAAATGCTTTACTTTCATTTTTTTCTATTCCTTTTCCAAGTTCATAACAGTTTCCTAAATAAATTAATGCAATCTTATTATTATTTGCTGACATTTGATACCAATAAAAAGCTTTATTTGGATCTACATCAGTTCCTATACCATATACATAATAATCAGCAAGATAAAGCTGTCCACAAATACTTCTGTTATTTACAGCTTCTTTTATCCAATAAATTGCCAAACTATAATTAATTTCAGTTCCAATTCCATATCTATAAAATATGCTTAAATACACTTGTGCGATAGGATAATCGTCCTTTGCTGCTTTTAAAATTAATTTAAATGCTTTTTCATCATTTTTTTCTTCTAAAGTAAATTCATTGAAATAAAAAAATCCAAGAAAAAAAATATAAGATGAGTTTGTTTGATTTTCTTTAAGCCATTCAAAAATATCACTTGATGTTTGATTTGAGAGAGATATACAATGGTTAATGAAATGTTTTGACTCTTTAATACTATTTTCTTCTTCTTGTGTTTTGATCAAAAGTATAATTAACTTATCAATAAGAATATTTATGTCATCTGTTATGTTAAATATTTCTAAAAATAATTTTTCTGCTTGATTTAATATATCTGAGTTAACTTCATTATTTAAATGATCTAGCAATTTACTTAGATATAGTTCAGAATTATTACTCAACATATATTCTATAGAATTATTACTAAGCATACATGCTAAGTCAGGTATAGTAATTGATCGTGAATGATTCTCTTGTAATAATTCTGTCTTATTTTCCAAAGAATTAATCTCATCATTATTTTCTCCAAAAATTATTTGCTTAAGAAATTTAACAACTTGATGTATAGTAGGACGTTTAGTTGGATCATCTTCCCAACATACTAAAAGAAATTAAATAAATTAATATTCTTAATTAATTATATAATAGCATATGATAACTTAATATTTACCGTTATATAAATTACTATATTCAATAGGAGTATCCTTAACGATTTTTTCTCTTTGTCCTTTTATAATATTCATGATCAAATTTGCATCATATTCTACATTTTCGACATAAAAAGGTCTATGTCCACTCGAAATCTGCCAAAGAAGAACTCCTACACTATAAACATCAGACTTTGCATTTAATTTATATGGTTGGCTTTTATCTTTAATATTATTCAAATATTTTGGGTCAATATAAGGAACAACACCAAGGACATTTGTTGAATTGTATGATATATCAGTTATTTTTCTTGATAAACCAAAGTCCGCTAACTTTATTTTATTTTGATGTACAAGTACATTTTGCGCATGCTATATTTGATAAGAATTATATTAAGAATGTTTTTTAACTTAATTGATATAAATAAAAAAAAAAAAATACTCAATAAATTATTTATTACATTACCAAATCACAGTGAATAATTCCTTCATTATTTAGACATTCTACAGCATTTGCAAGTTGGAGCGCTAATTGATATTTATCATTCCATTCAAGTTTATTAAAATTCTCTTTCAAATAGGATTGTAATGATCCACAATCAGCATACTCCAAAACTAATAAATATTTGTTTTCTAATTTTGAGATTCCATAAAATCGAATAATATTTGAATGATAATCAACTTCACGTTGCATTTTTATCTAATATTATAAANAAAAAAAAAAAAAAAAAAAAAAAAAAAAAAAAAAAAAAAAAAAAAAAAAAAAAATACATAATCGTAATGTTTTAATATAATAATAATTTACCTCATTAACCATTTCTTTGATAGTTAAGTTAAATGGATATTTTAGAGCCATAACAGTATCAGAATCTTTCCGATTTACACGAAAAACTTTTCCAAAAGATCCATTATTTATTTCTTCTTTATTAGTAAAATCAGTATAATCATAATATTTAATATAATTTTCTGATATTGCTTTTTCTAACCAATCTATATAAGTATCAGAATTTTTTTCAGTTGTCTCCGTCATAGTTTTCGAGTAAAAACCTTATTTATTACTCGATAATTTGAACATGCTTTAAATAGAAAATCCTAAACGCAATGTTTATGGTACCACAAATTTTCAAAAATTGCCACATGACCAAATTTATTCCGCAACAGTTAATAAAAGTAGAAATTGCACGGATCACCGCCAGATCAACCGGACCGGATTCTTTTTTTGAAATGTAACGCGAATACATACAAAACTGTAACACAAATAAAAGTTGCGCCCTAAACCTTTTAAACCAAATCAATTTTTACTTTTTAAACATTAAGAAAAAAACCAGTGATGTTCTTTGCTTGATATTCGAATAATTCCAGAGATAATGAAAGAAAGGGAAAGAAATTTATTATTAAACGTAATAATTTTACATTTATCAAAAGAATCAAAAAATAATTTAAATCATAATAATATATCAAAGACCTTTATTTAATTATATTAATTTTTGCAAACATTTAAATTTAAATATAATTCAAAGGATAATTTATAATAATCTAAAATTAAAATTATTAAAAATGAAATTATCAATCTTTTTATTAATTAAATGAAAATACAAAATTTACACATCTTTATTTACCTTATCAATTAAATTTTCAAATATATTTCATTCCTGGAGCTAAAAGTTGTCTATCAGAAATTAAATTCCTTAATTGTAACGCTAGTGTAGAAAATTATATTTTAGACATAAAGAATTGGAAGTATTTTTTGAAAAATATAATAGTTAATTTAATTAAAAATCAGAAAAATTTTATTTAATGTTTGTTTACTAGGTTATTATAAACGACTTGAATCGTTTAATAATATTATAGAAAATTCGTTAGTTAAACATGCAATATTTTATATTTTGGAGTCCTATTGGAATGGATATTTTATAATATTATTTATGCTTCGCTCAAAATTTTGGAACTTTTACATTTTAAAATTAAAACATATGATAAATAGTAAATTTATTATGCGAAAATAATTATTTGAATTACAGACTAAGAGTATAGTAGATATAATAATTTCATTATTAATTGATTTATATACATATTTCACGTGCTTTTATAGAATTGATCATCTTTCAGTAGTATAATTGACATTAGAATACTTGCTAGGACCCAACTCAATTCTAGAATTGTTTACTATGTGATAGCGATTATCACTTTTATAAAAATATTAATCGCGCAATGAAAATAAAAAATTTTTATGCCGATCAATAACGTAACAAGGTATTTTATTTTTATCATCAGGTTACTATAAATAAAATTTTTGTATCAAATTTTTGAATGTTACACATGCACAAGGGCTTATATTTTGAATAAATTTTATCCGAATTCCGTAAATTTTTAAAAAAAAATTTTTTACATTTTCACTTTATTATATGGTTAATATTATCCTTTGAATTTACTAATAAAGTTTTTAAGTTAACCAGTTAAAATAAAAATCATTATCTTTGAATTTACTAAGTAAATTGTAATCTACATATATACAATCCAAATTAATTTAGCATTGGAATTTATCAAAAATGGATCCTAAAGAAAATAAAAGAAGTTTATGGGAGTCTGTTAATTATGATAAATATCAGGTAAAACAATTCGTTTTATCATTAATAATATAACATTATTTATTTTTAATTTGAATAATAATGTTTTTTTTTAATCATTTATTTTAAAAGAAACATGTTACAATTTCTACTATTGATTCAACTACTGAATCATCAGAAGAGATAGATGATAAAATAGTTTATATGGAAGATTTAGAAAAAAGAAAACAAGTATATGGAATATGTGGAGAATGTAATGAACCTGGTACAGGACAAGATTGGTGGCAACCTTGTAATGCTAAAAGATTTAAGGATAACTTTAAAAATTGGACTAGTGGAAATAAAAATATTGATAAATTTATACAACAATCACAAATTAATGCTGTGTACTATCAAAAATATCTTGAATGGATACCTTTTGAAAATTTTAAAAATATTACCTATATTACCAGAGGTGGATTTGGTAAAATTTATTCAGCTAAATGGCATGAAGGATATCTTAATTATTGGGATATTGAAAATCAAAAATGGAAAAGGTATAGCAGAAAAGTTGCATTAAAAAGTTTGGATAATTCATCTTGTATAAGTACAGAATTTTTAAATGAGGTAATTAAAATAAGAAATGTAACTTATTTACTTAATATTATTTTTATTAATTCCTTTCAATGTTTTATTAGATTAAAACTCATCTTCAGATTTATCTTTTTGATGTTATTCAATGTTATGGAATAACTCAAGATCCAAATACCAAAGATTATATGATGGTTTTAGAATATTGTGAAGGTGGAAATTTGAGAAATTATTATATGAATCATGAATCAGATTATTATTCAAAATTTGATCAATTAAGGCAAATTGCAAGAGGACTTCTAGATATTCATAATACTGGAAAAATTCATAAAGATTTTCATTCAGGCAATATATTATATTAAGTTGATCCATTTATAAGTGATTTAGGAATGTGCCAACCAGCAAATAGTGAAAAGCAATCAGCTAAACAAGAAGGAATTTATGGAGTATTACCTTATATGGCACCAGAAGTTTTACGTGGATGTCAATATACAAAAGCATCTGATATTTATTCATTTGGAATAATGATGAATGAATATATATCTGAAGAAATTCCTTATAATAATATTCCTCATAATCATGCTTTATCTATTAAAATATGTAAAGGGCTTAGACCAAATATTTTTAAATATACACCAAAATTACTTGCAGATTTGATTACTAAATGTTGGGATGCTAAAGCAGAAAATAGACCAACTGCTAAAGAATTGTATCAAAAATTAAATAAATTATTAATTATAGATAGTGATACTAAATCTCAAGTAGATGAATATAATGATAAAATCAAATTAAACAGAACAAGTGAAAAAAGATCTATTAACTTTCAAACACATCCACAAGCAATCTATACTAGTAGACTTTTAAATTTCAAAAATCTTCCAGAACCAGTAAATTCAGGTAATTTAATTTAACTTTACTTTGGTAATCAAAAAAAAAAAATGTTTACATTACTAATAACTTTATTTTCTAATAGATGTTACTGAAACAACATTACGTAAGTAATTATTTCTATTGGCAATCAATATAATTAATAAACCTTTATATTATTTTAATGTCATGTTAATTAATTTATAGTTTCAGAATGTTTTGATTGTCAATTAGACGAATTAGGTAAGATATTTATTTATTCTTTAGTTCTTTATTTTGCTAATACTTATTAATTTGCTTATTTTGTAGATCTTAATGAAATTAATCAAGATGAAGAAAATAATACTGAATGAATGATTTGATTTTTTATGAGAATCAAAGAATTTAGTTTAATTAAAATTATATTATTAAATTATGTCTTTTATACTAGTTATTATTTATGGGTTTTGTATGTAGTAATATTTTAGTTTAATAAAAATAAATTATAAATTGGTTAACTATTGATATATCAAATTAATTTTATCTTTAAACTATTAATTGTAACTTTATTTTTGACGTAAAAGATTTAATACACAGTGCGTAATTTTTTTTTATTTGTTTATTTTTTAAACGAAATAATTTTGAAATATTTACAAAAATGTTTTAAAAGCTTTTAATTGTTAGAATCATAAAATTATACTAAATTACTTGAAATATTTTTGATTGTAAATTATCCTAGAACCTAATGGAAAAACCAAACAAAAGTACTAATGAATAAACAAAGACCAAAAATGAAACAAATTAAAATAATAAGTGAGATAAAGGATCAAATGAATGAAATCAAAAATAAAAGGATCAAATGATAAAGTTTAATCGACAAAAAGGAAACTGAGTGAAAATATATTAATTAAAAAAGAAATCCAAGCACAAAGTATAAAACGTTCGATCCTAATCAATATATTGATTGTCTCACGTTCATTATTTTCATTAGAGATATATTATTAACTTGAATATTGACTATTTATGAATCGGTTACACCGATCAAACACACTGAATATAACAAAAATTAAAGAAACTATGTCAACATTTCTGCTGAAAAATGATAATTTATTATAAGTAAAACTATAAATAAGTTTATCATAAGATATTAATTGGCGACACCATCACCTAATATATATATATATTAAAGCCTTAGATTTATAAAAAATTTATAATCTGTCTTGGTAATGATATAATTTTAAAATTATCTAATAATATCAAAATATTAGTTTAATTACCAATAATGACATTTCATATTTGGTTATATGAAAAGTAAGTCTTAAATACTATATATTTTATGAATGTTTACTGGTCTATTCAATAATGTTTGTGCTCGTTCATAATTATGATTTCTATAAATTTTTATTAAAATTCCAAACTTTAAGCATACTAAATTTTCTAATTACTATAATCCAAAAAATCCACGCAATTAATTATGAGATGTGGGAAGTCTTGTATTCTGGTCTCTTATACACATCTAGATGTGTATAAGAGACAGGTCTTGTATTCTGTTCAATGAATATTTTTAAATATAAGCTACCGTGATTCTCGCGTTCTTTTTTACTTAATTTCAAACATAAACGATTTTTAAAAGACACAAATTTCAATTACAATTTACACTAATTTAGTCCTGCCCTATAAGAAATATGTATACGGAAAGGATATGTTTTGTATACATTTTTTGTACGTTTCTATAGATTCCGTATACAAATTCCGTATATTTAATAAGACATTCATTTTTGAACATTTTTTAAAAAAACTAATGTATAAGAAATGTATACGGAAAAAATTAATCATGCGGAATGTATACGGAATTTTTAAACTTAATATTTTTAGAAGATAATTTTACAAAAATCCGTATCATAACACGAGATC